CGTTATTGTCCTCCTCAGAGTCAAATAATAAAAAAAATACAAATATCATATTAAAATAATAAAAGATAGTGACAGCAATGAAATCCAATAAAACCGAAAACAATTTGCATTTGAAAAGCGCGCTACGAAAAATGGCTGAATGACATTTGCAACATCGACGTCCATTAATCATTTGTGGAACGAGCGACCGCCATTTTGTCGTATTAACCTTACATGGTGGCCAGTTCTGTAATTGCGAATGATTGTAATTGTCCATCGCATCGGCACTGTCGATAGAGATGTCATTGTAATAATCTAATAATGGAAAATATAATAGCGGTTTGCATTTGTACCTAGACCGACAAACTTCTTGTGCGCGTTGGACAAATATTTTTTTGACAGGCGCTGTCAATGTCAAAAAGACTATCTGTCAAGTTATATCTTGTCGTTATTCACATTTTCTCGGGTCTAAAAAGTTTGTCGCATTTTGTAACTTACTTTCATTGACTTGATTACATATATCTGTCTGTCTAGTTCGACATCCCAATATTTTAAATACTGTGCTACAATTAAAGTGTTTGTAAGAAAATGTTTCGAATATCCTCTTTAACTGATTTGAGACTCTTTGTTCTTACTGTAAATTGACAGAATAAACGGCAATCTGAACCTCGGAGTCGCAAACAAAGCGCATTCAACGACAAATAAGTTATTCAACTCCGCTTTTGGATTAGGCTGTTATTTGGCGAAGCTTTAGTCATTTATCCACTTATGGTTTACACCCACTTTGCTTTGACACACTTTAGAGTTGCATCTTGAATACTGAAAACGTATATTGTAGATGAAAACTTAATCTTACTAATATTATAAATGTGAATGGTTGGATGGACAGATCATTGTTTGAAGGTATCTCCAGAACGGTTACATGGATTTTGCTGAAATTTGGCATAGATGAAGAAGATAGTCTGTAAGAACACATAGGCTACTTATTAACTTTGTTTTTAATTCCGGGCGGACGGAGTTGCAGGCGACAGCTAGTACCACAATAAACACAAATTGTGAAAAAGCAAACATATTTGAACTGATTTAAGTAAAGCGCGGTCAAGCGCTAGCTTATCTTACTAATTTTATAAATGCATTCAGAACGGCTCAACGAATAACTGAAATTTAGCATAGATGTAGAACATCTGGAAGAGCACATAGGCTGATTTGTTTTTTAATTAAGCGTCAAAAATTATTCTACAGATATCTAGTTAACTATACTGGCACAAAAATAAATTTTTAACAATATTAAAAAATAAAAATTCGTCACTTCTGTATTTATATGTATATTTAGTGATGCACAATTGATAATTTCCCGTAAACAAAAAGTTCTATAACGTTGCTAAAAATTCTAAAAAGTATACGGTGTCCGAAAAGAACATTATTGGAACTCGTTAATCGTAAATTCTACCAAAACATTTACTATGACCACTAACGTCTATGAGTACTTTTTTTTTCTTAATAATGGCCAGTATCGCACCTGCCAGTCTTCTCGTTTTTGGTGATATTTATGACTAACGTCGGCTCGAACATAGTACGCCGCTTACACCTTTCCGTAAAAAAAATGTCATCATTAAATTAAACATGCTCATTAAATATTTGCGAATCATACAAAAAGACAGTGACAATGTAAAAAGCGTATACTTTTTCTCAATTCTTTGTAACGAAAGAATTGTTTTCAATGAATTTGTTAAGCTATTAACATACTTCAATGATTGCTCCGATCGTCGGCAATTTTCTTGTCACATGATGTCAAATAGAGTTGTACCTAAATGAGGGATATTAGTACATATTTAGCAGTTATCTACGTCTTTACGACTACGCTGTTTCGACTTATAAGGTGTAGATATTTCGTCAAGTATCAATAACAGTCCATTGTTACACCGAAAGTTTTTTTTTATCAAAGTTATTTAGTTTAAAGACGCTAAAAAGTATTGTGTTATTTAACATCTTTTGTCTCAAGAATTTTAAAGTGGAGATCCATATTTCGTTTGATAAAGCTAAAATAAGAGAAGATATTACCCGCAATTGTTTCTAAATTAGAGAGAGATGAATTTACCATTTCTTTTTATTCATTCACTAGCTGTTACCCGTTACTCCGTCGGCGCGAAATTAAAAAAAGACGAAATACATAGCCTATTTGTTCTTCCAGATTATTTTCTACATCTGTGTCAAAATTCATTAATATCAGTTGAGCCGTTCCGGAGATACAGACAGACATCCATCCATTTAAACATTCGCATTTATAATATTAGCCAGATTACACTTCTAACATTTATTTTATTATTAATAATAATATATATATTTGTGAGATATATAAATCACTATATATTAATAAAATTATCAATTTAAATAAAAAAAATATTATTAGTTTGGTCCCCTGACTCATAAACCATTGGGCAGAATTTTATGATACTTTGGTAGTATGTTCTGAGGCATCCCGAACCTGCATTGGACGGTGTCGTCTTTGAGGAGCGCCACATTGGGGGCGCGATGGGGGGCCTATTCTCGGGCTGGTCAGTGGGACGTCGCGGTGGCAAGTTTACAACGATCCCGTGGTGTCCCACATTATGGCTATGAGTTAACAGAGGGGTTTAGTGAGTATCCTCCCATTCGGGGAGAGAAATCCAAATAACTACCTTGCCTTCCCCGAGGCACGGCGTATGCCTAAAGCATTCCTCTCTGAAGAAATAAAAAGGTTCTGTGGACGTCAGAGTTTAGTTAGGACATAACCTTTGTCTAAGAACATTAAAAATAATATAAGGCATTGTTTTGCATACCGGATTAAGCTAGCAGAATTCACACTATTGTGTTTCATCTTTAAATACTTTTGAACAACATTAAAAACTGAAATCGATGTTTTTATAGCATGCTTTATGTATACATAAAACATACATAAACCCTCTACGCGGGGTTTACAATAGTAGGCGATTCTCAGATCTACTGAATCTTACTTCTTCTTACCAATATTATAAACGCGAATGTTTAGATGGATGGATGTTTGTAGGTATCTCCAAAACGGCTGAAGGGATCTCGATGAAATATGGCGTACGTATAGAACATAGTGTGCAAGAACACATAGGCTACTAATTATGTTCTTTTTTAATACCTCGCCGACGGAGTCGAGGGCGACCGCTAGTATAGGTATAAAATTTCAAAAAAATCGGTCAATCTGTTTCGGAGGAGTATGGCCACTTTACAAGTAAAACAACCATTTTGTATTATTTTTTGATATCATAGTAAAGGATTTGATGACGTATGATTTATTAATTCCTTTCCGTGACTAACTTTCACCTTTGACCTTACTCGTTACTTAGAAAATTAAAAAAAACTGAAGATCAGATAAAAAAAAAATATTATTACCTAAAATTACTGATAATGGAAATTATATATATTATTTAATCAATTATTTACGGTTTGTGTAAAATTTTATAAAGGTACGAATAATGTCGTTTTGTTTTATTAATAAATTAACCCATTATAATATAAAATCGATTATTAAAAAAACAACAACAAACAAAACGACATTGTAAAAATCGATATTCATTCGAATCACAACGTGAGCTTAACTTCGATAAATAATAAATTATTATCGATTAAATTGTGTAATGTTCGTTATCAAAAACCGGAGTTTTACGATATAATTACTATAATAAAATCGATTCGAGATTACTCATTGAATTTGTATTTAACAAATATTCAGTTAAGGCGATCTAGAACTGTTTATTATTAATTTATTATATTCATAAAACACATTTAAAGGTAAAAGACTATCTTTTTTTAATCTTACAAATCTTCCTAAACTTATCTTCCTTGTTCTCCTACTCTAAGAGACTAGGAGAACAAGAGAAGACAAGAGATGTTCGCTCTACAATTTTTAGGTAGTTGTAATTATAGACTCATTCTAGACAATTACTAAGCCTAAGAACTAATCGGTTTATTGGAGTTACTACATAACATGTCTGGAGAGCCTTTTATAATCATCTTCCCCGTCCCAATTTCTAATACAAAGACTGGGAAGAAGAAGTAAATTGGCGAGTAAGGTGATGGGCAGAAAAGGGATATATTATTTTTCTGTACATCTCTACTGTTGGATTTTTGCAAATCTTTGCATTTTGATATAAATAAGTATTATTTATAGCTTTGGTATTTATTTTACGTTGACTCATTAGTATTCTATTTTAGGGTTAACTTGTTACTAACTTTTTAATAAGCCTTTAGTTATGTTCCGTTTAATAATGACGATGTCTTAATGAAATATTGCACAATATATATAAATATTGCATTTTTATCACGTGATGTGAACGAAGCCTTAATTTTATTATGTTTTAAAGTTTTCCATACATGCACACATCTGTATCTTCTATACTCTATATAAGGTGTGAACCATCCCTTAAAGTTATACCTTCAACTTTTTCTAAAAATTTTTGTTAATTAAATAAAAAAAATCTATTTGTATATGTATTTTAAGAGCTACTGTTGTATTAAAGTGTTAACACTAGGCGTCGTCCGCGGCTTCATCTGCGTGGAGAATGATTAAAAAAAACGAAATTGGTTCAATTGTATTGAAGAGTCTTTTTGGCGATTTTCAAAAAAATCTGCTCAATAAAACAATATATTTTTCATACAAATATTTATTCTCTACTAAAACTCTTTGGGTATAGGGGTGTATATTAAAATCCTTAATTAGTGTCTTCTTAAGTAGTAAGATAATTCCTCTTAGGTAAAAGTTTTTGGTAAAGCTGATACAAGAGACAATAAGATTATTTTTTTATTGAAGACAAGCTTTGAGTAGGTGTAGTCGTTGAAATCTTTTTAATTGATAAAATTGATTTTTACTAACATTTTCCAATTAGTGTCTTATTAGGCCTACAATTTCTAATAAGTAAGATAGTAAGTTATTTTTAAGCTTAAATACTAGTTTTATTTTATGTTTAAAGAATATATAACCATTGAATATAATATAATAAAGTTTAACTTACGGGTTTTCCTTTGAGTCAGACAACTGGACACCGCATCACTTTCTCACAATTTTATTTTTCGTTTTGTTTACACCAAAATGTCACACAAGGATTGTTAATAAAAGCTTTATACACTCAGCTTTAGCACTGTATTCTTTGTTTATTTATATTTATTTTTCTAATACCAAGTTAGAAAAGTATTAGAAGTTAGTTAAGTTTTCAAAGATAACTTTGTCGTAGCGAGAAGTATAATCAAAATTATTGCCGGCGATTATAAAAGAGAATGGGACTGAGAAATAATTACAGATCAATTAAAGATCCGTGAATTATGATTTTGCAATTACGTAGCACGTGGCGTCATTTTTAAATCGATTTTACGTTTTGTACTCGCGTCGGATATTATCGATTGTTACCGATATTTTTAAACTTTCGTGTCACGTCACTGATGTCATTTTTGTAGTCACTTTAGTTTTATTTGTACGACTGGATGATACGTTGTCTAATCAATAGTCATGTTTTCGTTTGCGGCAATCAAAAAATCACTCACGATCGGCGCTCGCTAAATGCGAACGATAACAGTCATCGAGGGCTTTCGAAAAAACGGAATCGTCACTGGCGGGAAAAAAAAACCGAACACCGAACGCACACAAGCACAAAATACTGTCCAATTAAAGATAATGTTTGTGGATATTTTAATAGCGTTCCCCTCCGAAGAAATCCGACACAACCAACTCCCGTTGAATTTAAACACTTAATGATCGGTTGGAGGAAATTGTCCGAGAAACGAACGGCCCAGCCATATCGCGTTCTCTTTCTGTTTAGTGATGATCTATGCCGCATGTATGAGGAGTACGGCGCTAGTGTCGACCGGGGGGCGAGGCTAGCTCTGCGGGGGCATGATCTATGGGCGGCGTCCGCTTTTCATTGGTGGACTGGTATGGCGCGATTTTTTCTTTCGTGGGTGCGGAGCGCGCGGGTTGGCACCGGGGGATCGATCGCCGGCGCCTGGGTTGCCATTATATTTTTTATGGGTATTTTTTGGCGTTGCACTGCGCTTCGCTAACCTGTTATAGAGGCCACGCCCAGCCGGTTCGGTTGATACGTGCAGAGAGAAGAACAACGGCTATCAATCCAGACTCCGGCCGTAGGCTTTTCAAGTTACTTTTTTTTTGATCGGAGTGTTTTTTTATGTCGTGATGCGTCTTCGATTTTTGTGTGTGGTGTCAGTTTTCATTGTTAAGAAAGGAAGTGGTTCATGTTGTCTCTGCCACATAATAGTAACAACTCGACAAAGGGTACGTCAGTTGTATGCAAAGTAGATACTGCAGAGTCCGTATAAATAGAACATCTTTGTATCAACAATTCAACAATTGCGCTGTATTATATTCTTTATAACATGAGGCGATGACTTATAGCTCAGTGGCAAAGTGCTTTATGACCACGGTTGCAGTTCGATTCTCACCTTGATAATAGAGCTCTCATTTTAAGAATCTTTCTTAAAAATTAAAAGATGTATGTACCTGTAAATATTTAAATTAACTCATTTCGCAATTTCACATTGAAACAATGTAAATGAAAACTTTAATACTAATCGTCGTAATTGTTTCTACATAAGACTTATGATAATATATAAGGTTTGATCTACATAACAAAGTATATAAATACTTTTACACTTATGTTCATGAAATTATCATTATGAAGGCATTGTGCCAATCACTTATAGCTATGGCCAGTATTCAACTTTTTTTTAAATAATTAACTTAACTTAATATAAGGTTTTTATATATTTGTTGTTATATTGGTAGTAGACAATATTATAAACATATCTTATATTTGCAATTAAATTGATAATTAAACGATTTTCATGGAATCAATGATTTTTATTATTCATACGAATTTCTCGGCGTTTCCAGTATTCCAGTGGGTTTCAATTCTTGACAAACAAAAACACAAACTTGACATAGTTACTTCGTTAGAAATTTTGGTCTTAGAAAATCATGGTTAATCTGTTATTAAATCTGACAATAATTAAATTAATAAATGTTTTGCTGGGATATTTACCAGTCGATTAAAGACGTGAATCTATAAAAAATAGAAAGCAAAAAAAAACCGTATTCGCTCACAATCTCTACCTTTAGTTTGTAATATTCTAAAATGACAACCCTCCTAAACAAAGCAAAATTCAATTAGCAATAACAAAACAATACAATATTATTAGTAATGTTTAAATTACAGGTCAAACAGCGATACACAAAAATACTGAAAAAATTCTTCATACAGAGTCCAATATTGCTGGAATAGAGAAATATTCCAATACAGTTTTGTTCTTCTATCTATATCGTAAATTATATATTACTATATCTTTGGGTCTGTTAAATAGTTTGAACGTGTTGATAGGATACTTAGATAGACAGCTGTTGACCTATGATCGGAGACGGTTAAGATTAATCAATAAACAATTACAAGCGCCCTCTACATGCGACACTAAATACCACCAACTTATGTCAATCAACGTTATATTAACTAGTTATAACCGGTTATGTTAAAACGCTATAAAATAATACTGGCCGTAATTGCTGTGGTATTTTTATTTTTAATGCATACAGCGATGCATTTAACTTTTTGTTGCACTAGAAAAATGACGTTACATTTTTCACTTTATCCTAACCTTTATCAGACAATTCCTAGATTATCCAAAATAAATAGATCGACAAACATATTGTTTAAAAAAAATCTGTACTTGAACCAACTTGAACACTGGCAGAAAAGATAGCCCTCCCCTCTAACGTGTGCGGCATGGAAAAAAAGTTGAATAATTAGATTTAAACAAATGTACTCTGTTAACAAATACTAACACTGCACATTAAAAACTACTAAGAGAGTCCCTTAGTGGAGTTTTAGTATGAGAAGTATACACTACTGAGTAATTATGACTCACATCCCTTCGTGCTCTACCTAATATTACTATTATCCTTGTTCCATTTAAAACACAATGCAGGTGTAGCCTTATACCAGGCAAGATGAGTGCCGACTGTAAAAAAACATCTTTATTTTTTAACATAACTAAAAACTCTTAAATATTTATAAAAAAAATTATGTTTTTTGTAATGGGTTCACAGTGCCTAAATATTCATAAAAGGCAGTCATCTCTTAAGGGGCTAAGTGCCTAGTCAAGTTAGGGGTGACTAGCTCATAGTCAAGCATGATGGCCCAATGCATGTTGACTTCACAGATAAGCTCGAATTTTTTCGCAGATATGTTTTACATCAGGAAGTTTTCCCTAACTTAAAGAACGCCTACAATGTTGCGTTTGTAATTAAAAAACAATTTCATAACTGAAATTATTTATATAAATTAAAATTATAACATTCACTTTAAATTATACTTGATAACGAAATTGTTTACTTATTTATTTATTTATGGAATTTATTTACATAATAAAAAATATTTTTTTTTGATATTACGATATTATTTATAGATTATAAATAAAGTGTAATTTGTAATTAAAAAAATGCTATTTTTAGTATTGCTTTTTTATTTGGCTCTTGCAATATTAACCTAAAAAGGCTAATGTAGCTATTAAGCATTGCAATATTTGAATGCTCAATTTTTATAATACTTAACACCTCATTAAATATAATTAATACTTATATTTTGATACTAAAAATAAACATACGTGTCAATCATATTGAATAAAAACTTATATTAAATATTTCAAGGGGAAAAAATATCATTCACATAATTATGATTAATTAAGAAAAATGCAAAAAAAACATGTTGCCGCCAATAATTCCATTAAATTATTCATACGCTTTTTGTAACATGAGCATGACAGATAAATAATTAATTAAAATGATATCACAAATTAAGAAAAAAATCATGTGACTCCATAACACTTTGACTTTCGGCTCAAATTAAAAAAAAAAACAAGTTGGTATAATGCATGTAGTACGCATATCGCATTCACTTTTGCCTCTAATTTCAAAAAAATAAAAAAAATGATGTAACGCATCAACTGTCAGCATAATGCATTGGTTCGTCTCAATTAAAAAAAAAACACCAGTATAATCTATGTCAACTGGCTGCATAACGCATAAACTTTGGCCTCAAATAAGATTTAAAAAAAAACAAAAGCTAGTATAACGCAATAATCAGTAATAGTGCTTGAAGCGGCTCTTTATAGCTCAATAAAACCACATGCGTGGGGCGCCGGCGCCTTTTACTCATACAGAATTGTTCCTAGAAGCGCTAATAGGGTTACCGAGGAGTAACTTTTTTTAATTTATTGTTTATTTATTTTACTCGGAACCGTTGTTTATTTGAATTTTTTAATTATAACATAATAAGCAATTATACGTAACAAATGGTCTAACGAACTGATTTTTATGTCATTTATTAGTGCACTGGAAACGTTCCGGAGGCCTGATTTTATTAGTTCTCTTCCCCTTCACACACTTTAATTTCAAGGGTAGGATGAGAAGGGGGAGTAGATTTGATGGAGGAAGGGGACGCATAGGAAGGGAAAATATTCTCTCTCTGTACGTCTCCTCATCCTTCGATTGATGGTAAACAACGTATCTGCAATTGTGGATGACATTTCAGATAATTCAGCGGCCGCTAGCTCGTTTATCACCTTATAATTTTAAAACTCATATGTGCTCTTGACAGTGGTAGAGCCCGCTTTAACATCTTCGCACGAATTGGCCCGGCTCGCCCGGTGAAATACCACGACCACACAGAAGACAGGCGTCAAGTGGAAGCAATTCGGTGTTTCGTCTGATGAGTGTGCGTTCCGGAGGTCTAATTTAGTCCTCTTTTACTTCCCTCCCTTTTTCTTATAAGAAAAGGATGGGAAGTGGTAGTGGACTTTCCGGATAAGAGGATGCATGGAAAGGGAAATATTTTCTTTCGGTGCATCCTCTCCTCCGTCGATTAAAGGTAGGCAATGCACATGCAATTGCGTATGTCTATGGACAACGGTCGCTATTTCAGCGATTTCAGGTGGCCGCTCGTTCGTTTGCCACCTTATGATATAAAAAAAGTGCTCTAAACTTTAGGAATTTCGGAATATCTATATGAGAAGAAATCACAAGATCAAAATTACGTCGCTCATAGCACAAATATCAAGAACATAAATATTCACTATTCTATTATCGCGTTCACAAATTGTAAAGATGTCCCAACAAAAAGGTTTGTTCACGCCTCATAAAATAGACAAGACGTAAGGATCGGCAACAAACTATAAATGTCACTAAACAATAAATAAATTACAAAAACAGTCGTAAAATACAACCGAACTTCATCACTACTGTTTGTAGCGGGACCTTAAAAGAAATAACGTAAAATAAATTGAGTTTTTGACCGAATTTAGTAGGTATAAGTGTGAGGAGAGACATCTAAAAGGCCTATTAAATTTTATTATATATTAGCTGTCGCCCGCGACTCCGTCCGCGTGGGTATATAAAAAACCTAAAATATAGACAAGTTAAATAAAAAGAAGCTCTCCAAGGCATAAATTAGAAAAAAGGGATAAATAGTATCCTATGACCGTCTCCTGGCCCTAAGCTACCTCCTCACCAATTTTTGAAGCATATCGGTAAAGCCGTTCTTGAGTTATATATAGTGTAACTAACAAGACTTTCTTTTATATGTATATAGATTTTTTAAAACTAGCAGATTTTTGTTCATTTACTAATATATCTTGTACCATTCCGACTAAGCTGTATGCTGCTAGGATA